TGTCTTCAACGTTGGTAGTTATCGCCGCTTCAGCACTCCACAGCCACAGGCGGGATTCTTTGATCCTCACAATGAGGAAGGCGAGCGTATGCGCCGAGCTGCCGCGGAGGCTGCCATGTCTGACATGCTTCAGTGGTTTAATACCGGGAAGGGTGTCGTGGCTATCTTGGATGCTACCAACTCCACAAAAGACCGCCGCAGGTGGATCTATGAGAAATGCACCGAAGCTGGTATCGAGGCTCTCTTTGTTGAGTCGATTTGCGATGACGAAGATCTCATCATGACCAACATCAAGGAAGTCAAGACGACATCCCCAGACTACAAGGGCCAAGACCCGGAAGTGGCTGCACTTGATTTCCGCAACCGCATTCGCAACTATGAAAAGGTGTACGAGACCATCGGTGATGACGAGAAGAACTACACTTATGTCAAGCTTATCAACGTGGGATCAACGGTCATCATCAACCAGATCAAAGATTATCTGTCCAGTCGCCTAGTCTATTATATCCAGAATCTTCACATCAAGCCTCGTTCAATCTGGCTATCAAGGGTAAGTCAAATATCAAAAATCGCAGCGCCATTAGCTTGGATAGGGACTGACGATAATAGCACGGTGAATCCGAGTTCAACCTGACCGGAAGGATTGGAGGCGACTCCAACATCTCCGAGCGCGGCGAGGCCTACGCCCGTGCACTCCCCGAGCTAATGCGCAAGTCCGGTATCCCTGACAACACGAAAATCGTGATCTGGACCTCAACCTTGCGCCGCACTATCCAGAGTGCCCGCCACCTTAAGGCAGAGACTGGCTATGAGACGCTGGAGTGGAAGGCCCTGGATGAGCTGGACTCGGGCGTCTGCGACGGTTTGACCTACGAGCAAATTGCTGAGAAGTACCCAGAGGATTTCGCTGCCCGCGATGAAGACAAATACAACTACCGCTACCGCGGTGGTGAGTCCTACCGCGACGTCGTCATCCGCCTTGAGCCCATCATCATGGAGCTGGAGCGCAGTGAGAATGTGATCATTGTTACCCACCAAGCTGTCCTCCGCTGCATCTACGCTTACTTTATGAATGTACCCCAGGAGCAGAGTCCTTGGATGGAGGTGCCTTTGCATACTCTTATCAAACTCACGCCCCGCGCTTATGGCACCGAAGAGCAACGCTTCAAGGCTGATATCCCCGCTGTGTCGACATGGCGTGGAAAGGGAACATCGGCGAAGCATCAAGAGTTCCCCGCTGAGGGAAAGAAAGAGGACACGGAAACCAAGAATTAGGAATGTGTTGATCTGCATCGGCGTGGCGTCACCTGGATGTGGAATTCGGACTGCATGAGATATTCAGATACCAAAAAACATGGTTTTTCTTTGATTACACCTTACATACCTCAAATCTATTTTTAAGACAAGTTCCTCCCGGGTTTATTGTAGTACTTATGCCTCATTAGAAAGTTGAAGTTCATTTCGACACAGAAATAAATGACATGGTTAGACACTTCCAAAACAACTTCGATCCTTTTCCTCATTCACCACACATTTTGAACGAACGTCAACCCAGCAGCTATCATTCTATTTCAAGCAGAGAAAGCTCGTATGAACAACCGACAAGAGAACCCATTCTAGTTGCCAGGTCCAGCCCCAGGGCGGCCAGATATATGCTGACTCAGAACTGACTCAGCCCCGGACGTCATGCGGAGAGCTCCAGCAGCAGCGCCCCTCGAACCTCCAGCGGAAGGAATTGAAGACAGCACGCCCATGTTGTCAGCATTTACCGCGCGGCCGCTCGTGGAGCTCAAGCCGCGCGACAAGTCCCGCATCGACTCCGTCCTAGCCTACGGTGATCGGCTCCTCGCTGGTTTGAACAATGGCAACCTCCGCATCTATCGCATCGCCGACGACGGCAAGACCGAGCTCCTCCGCGAACTAGAGAAATTCTCCCGATACAGGATTGAACAGCTCGCCTTGATTAAGGAGGCTAATGTGCTGGTTTCTCTTTCTGGTGGTTATGTCTCGCTCCACGATGCGCAGTCCTACGAGCTTGTTGAACAGCTAGCCCAAACGAAGGGCGCTTCTGTCTTTGCCATCACGTCGAACGTTGTCAATGATCCCGATACGAATGTGCCTGCTATTGTTTCCCGCTTGGCAGTCGCCGTCAAGCGGAAGGTTCTTATGTGGGCGTGGCGCGACATGGAGCTCGAACGGGATACGGCTGAGCTGAGCTTGGTTAGTGGGGTCAAGACTCTCACTTGGGTTGCAGCTACACGGCTAGTTGTTGGCCTGAACGCGAGCTTTGTCATGGTCAATATTGAGAGTGGACAGTTCACGGACTTGGCTGGGCCGGGTAGCATTGAGGAATCGGGCCGGTTCACGGGCGTTGGCGCCGCGAGCATGAGCTATATTGGTATGGGTGGCATGGTGCCGCGGCCACTTGTGACGAGATTGCGTGAAGGTCAGATTCTTCTGGCTAAGGACGTCAACACAAATTTCATCGATGTCGACGGCCAGCCTCTTGGTCGGAAGCAGGTGCCTTGGAGCCATGCGCCTGTGGAGCTTGGATACTCGTACCCGTTTTTGTTGGCTTTGCACGACTCATCCAAGGGTGTGTTGGAAGTACGGAACCCGGAGACCTTGTCGCTACTGCAGTCTATTCCGTTGCCGTCGGCTAGTATCTTGCACATTCCGCAACCGAATATCAGCCTCGCCCATGCCGGCAAAGGGTTCCTTGTGGCGAGTGACCGCACCATCTGGCGCATGGAAGCTCTGAGCTACGATACCCAGATTGATGCTTTGGTCGAGGGTGGTTATCTAGATGAAGCCATCAGCTTACTCGGCATGCTGGAGGATGCTCTTTTACGGGATAAGCCTGGTCGACTGCGCGCGACAAGACTTGAAAAGGCGCAGAACTTGTTCGCCTTGAACAAGTACCGGGAGTCTTTAGATCTTTTTACTGAGGTGTCTGCACCTCCCGAGAGTGTCATTCGCCTCTACCCTCGCTTGATTGCGGGCGATCTCTCTACGGTTCCGGAGCCTGAAGTTGCAAATGGAAAGGCGAACGGGTCCCAGAGCGATGGGTCGTCCGATGATGCCGCTGCTGGACAGACATCCACGCACGCAGCCTCTATTATATCTTCTGTGCGAAAGCCTGATGAAGGAAGCGAGGCTAGCAGTATCCGCGGGGACGACAAAGGTACGGCAAGCTCCCATTGCTTTTGAATCCATACTAACTAATTGTAGGTCTTCGAATTGCTGTTCGCGAGCTACAAGGATACCTAGCGGATGTTCGCCGACGCTTCCAGCGCTTCCTCAACCCCGATGGATCTCTCAAAGCTGCTGCACCAGTCCAAGCCACGGATGAGGCAAGTGACTCGGTTCTTAAGCTGCTTGATTTCCCATCTCCCGACAAGTTTGCCACACAAATTTGCGCCAAGGCACGGTTGGTTGACACCACTTTGTTCCGTGCACACATGTTCGCGACGCCATCACTAGCTGGATCCCTCTTCCGCATCGCCAACTTCTGTGACCCAGAAGTCGTCATGGAGAGACTCGAGGAGACTGGTAGATATAACGATCTAATTGATTTTCTTTACGGCAAGAAATTGCATCGCCAAGCACTTGAATTGCTCCAGCGCTTTGGACAGACAGATAACGGTCCTCTGAGCGGTCCAACACGCACAGTCGCCTATCTTCAAAATCTCCCCCCAGACCAGATTGATCTGGTTCTCGAGTTCGGAGAATGGCCGCTTCGGGCCAATCACGAGTTCGGAATGGAGATATTCCTGACCGACACTGAAAATGCTGAGACATTGCCCCGTCCACGAGTCCTCGGATTCCTTGAAAAAATAGACACCGCGCTTGCCATTCAATACCTCGAGCATGTCATTAATGAATGGAACGACATGACGCCGGACATACACCAGCGGCTGCTCATCTTATATTTAGATCAACTTACATCCAACAACGAGCAACGGGAGTGGAAGGAGAAGTTCTTGACGATGTTGAAGGAGAGCGAGCAATACTCGCCAGCAAAGATGTTAGATCGGCTTGATCGAGAGGGTACGTTGCGCTCTACTCCTGTGAAACAAGCTATCACTAACATATTCCAGATCCCAACTTCTACGAAGCCCGAGCTATCCTATTTAGCAAGATGGGCCAGCACCGACAGGCGCTCGAGATCTACGTCTTCAAACTTGCGGACCACGAGAAAGCGGAAGAGTGAGTGATACATCATTTTCCCAAAAGGAGCAATTGCTAAAACCAGAAAGATACTGCAACCAGGTCCACCTCGCCGAAAAGGCCGAAGAAGAAGATTCCATCCACCTCACCCTCCTTTCCCTCTATCTATCCCCGCCCCACGGCTATGAGCCTCAAAACGACCCCGCAATTGACCTGCTAGCCAAGCATGGCTCACGCCTCCCAGCTGACGCCGCATTGAAACTCATACCAGACAAACAGGCAGTGCAGAAACTTGAATTCTATTTCAAGGGCCGCATGCGTGCCGCAAACTCGGCTTTCAATGAAGCGCGCATTGTGGCAAACCTGCGCAAGGCACGGGATATGCAAATCCAAGCCCAGCTCGCTCTTGGCGAGGGCATTCGTGGTGGAGGCACGCGGGCTCGCCACGTCACTGTCAGCGAGGAGCGAATTTGTGGCGTCTGCCATAAGCGTTTGGGTGGGAGTGTGATCAACGTTTTCCCCGAGTAAGTCGTTTCCGGTCGTTTGTCTTTTTGATCTGCCCATCGCTGACTTGTTTCTAGTGATACCGTGGTTCACTTGGGGTGTGCCAATCGAAAACCCAGTATTCGAGCTGGGTAGTATTCTTGCTCTCCTGCATTTGCATTCGCGGGGTCGTTCTTGTTCTCCTTCATGTCCTTAGTTTTTCTTTTCTTTTGGTTCCCGGCTCGAGGTTCTCTTTTCATTTGGTTTGTTGTGTCGCGCGGAGGCTGTCCCAGCGACTTTGATACCCATAGCATCTGCCCATTTCAAGATACATCATGGTCATGCGATCATGCATCATCCTCAACCACCTCCTCTCCGTAATTCTCCTCCTCCTTAGCTTCCTGTGCTGAGAGCTGGCCCTGCATCTTCTTGTCCTCTTCCATGCGCTCCGTAAGGAAGACATTGATCTGGTCCTGCAGTTTGGGTACGAGCGACTGCAGCGCTGATAGGTGGGCTTGCTTAGCCGCTAGTGTGCCGGTTGTGGTTGATATCACATGTTCAAAAGTCTTAGTGGCTTGAGGGGCGGTGTAGACTGCGTTCAGGCTCGTGTTGGAGGCCATTTTGAAATCTAACAGGGAAGGGGAAGTTGTTAGCCCTGGAGGGGGAGATGGCAGAGACTAATGTCCCCAGCTATGTTACCGCCTTTCTTACCGCCTCTCCGCTGATCTAAGCCCGACCTCGGAACTTGGCACTTCAAACGCCCCAGGACACCTCCAGGCGCCCCAGGTACGGCTGAATACCGAGATGATATATTACCTGATTGTACTTTGGTGATCATACGGTAGCATTTCCGAGCCTAATCTTTGTTAGGTTCTAGTAAGGCAGTAATACCTACATAGTCTATATGCGGTCTGGATATAATACTAGTGAGAAAGTCGTGGTAATGTGGAAAAGAGCAACATTGAAATTTGTTAGATAGACGAATACAGGTGCAGATGACGCCATGAAGCAGTGGAATGATCTACAAATATAAATCGCAGAGCTCTCAGGTCCGTTGAGTCCAGATCATATCAAAGCTTAGCCAAGTCTCCGCATCTTTCGTCGATCTGAGATTCTGCCAGATAGAGGAGAGGAAGGGATCGGCGAGTGCCCAGATGTGGCTTTCGTAACGTTGTAAACAAAAAAAACTTCGCTGAAAGATAAACTCGCCTAAAAGAGACAGAGAGAGCATGGATTATTCGTTATGAATCCTACCTTCCGATCCCCCAACTCGCCTGGGCGTCAAGCACCTGCCCCTCGCTACCCCCGACCTCCATCTGATGACGAAGAGGAAGACGACTCCGATGAAGACGAATTGGTTCGCCCCGGATCCTCCGGTAGTGACGCCTCTTCTAATGTGACCACCGTTTCCGCCGCTCCTGCCACTCCGGTCAATACTCAACTGCCCCCCGGGGGTTACTTCCCTCCACAGCCACGCTCGGCGACTTCACCTCATCACCCTATGCCGAACCCAACAGGTCGGAGGCCCTCCGGCCGGGGTCCCTCTGTCGAGTTACCCCGGCACCGATCACGGCATCACTCGCAGGGTTTCTTTGAGCCTTCGCTGCCGACCGCCTCGTCCGACCAGGTCCCTACCGTGTCAGCATCCCGTATCGCCGCCCAGGCAGCAATGCAGCAGACAAAAAGGCAACAAAATGTTATGACCCCGGTAGAGGATGCTTCTCGTCCCAGACGCAGTGGAAGCAGCTCGCCTCCTCTCATGCCTGCCCCATTGCGTGTCAATCAACCCTCCCCGCAACCGGCTCCGCCGTCAGGGAACGTGGCCACGACAGCTGCGAATGTGGTCTTCCCGCGAGCTGGTGCTGCGCCGGTTGAACAACAGCCTGAGAAGCAGAAGAAGAAGAAGCTCTTCTCAAAGCCAAAACACATTGGAATCAGCAGTCATAAAGATCTGGGCAAAGACCGTGGTCTTCCCTCCCCGAGCAAGATCAGTGGGTTATCGCGCATGGTTAGCGGCTCGACTACAAACTTGACCGACCTGTCCTCGAACAACTCGTCGATGTACAACTTATCCAATGCCTCCGTGAGCACAGTTGTCCCCGCAGATCGTCAGCCAATTCCAGAGAAGGAAAAGGATAAGGACAAAGACAAGCACAAGCATCATTTCCTGTCGAGGCAGAAACTCAAATTAAAGGATCGCGTCGACGACCACTTCAACCTCCCTCTATCGTCGGCTTCGAGTAACTCTCGTCCGGCAGACCCCAATGCCCCACAATCTTTATACTCCTTTACACCTGCGTCTCCGGCTCCTGGAGCGACGTTTGGCAAGTCGGTCAGTGGGTTGGATCTCCTGCATGGCGGTCGAGCACTGCGTGAGAAGAAAAAGGAAGAGAAGGCGCTTGCTGAGTCGGAGCAGATGGAATGGCTGGCCAATAATGCTGGGGGCCCCACGACACCCGGTGGTTTCCCAGGTCCGTCTTCCGTTGGTAGTTCGGGGACACTCCCGGAGTCTATTCTCCGGGAGACATTGCAAGGGTTTGGGTTAAATAATATGACCCCAGAGGATGCGTGGGACTTCCTTAAGGCGAAGCTGCTGGTCATCTTTGATGGTGAAGATGTTCGCATCGCCATTGAAGATCTCAACAAGCTGGTGCTCGTTCATTTGCAGCGTTGTGTGGTTAAGAGAGCTCCAACGTCTATTGTAGTGGACCTGCAAGAACTCCTAGAGACTGGATTTGCGACTTTGAATCACAGTTCGCTGATTGGCCTTCCAGACGAAAAGCTGGTCCCGCATCTGGTTCAAGTGTGGCTGCTGGTGTTTGGTACGATTCTGCCCTTCATCCAGGCTGTGTTTCTCCCCCTGGATCTCGAGTTCAAGGGCTGTGGTTCGTTGATGACTAGCCGAGAAGCCGGTGAATTCTGGGGTGCACTGCCTGTTGGTGGGACACTCGACGTGCGAAGTCTAGTCTTGATTGCCTTCCGTGATTGCATGATCCTGAATCGCTACGATGCCCTCAAAGCAACCTTCTCCCGGCTCAGCCTGGACTCCATAAACTCCGGATTCCCAACACTCAGCGTCACAGCCAAGAGTACCGGCACCGGAGGCCGTCCTGGCACTGCAGCCTCGCTCGATGCCGGCTTCGGTAGCTACAACTCGCAGTCATCCACGCTCCTCAGCACGGTCACCGACAGTTACTCCTCTGACGGCATTGGCGCCCTGGCCAACCATCCACGTCCAACAAGCAGTGACTCTCGCAGTCGCGCTACCTCGAACACATCTTCCAACGCAGATCCCCTCTTCTTCCAGTCTATCGCATCGCCTCCAACCTCCAACAAACGGCCCACCGTCATCCACCGCGGTAACACCTCCGCCGACTCCTCCCACGTCATCACAGAGACCGTCGGCCGCATGCTGCAATGCATCAGCGTCCTGGCCAGCGTGCAAACAGATGATCCTGCCCAGGAGCGGATTGAGATTCTTAGCAAAGCTCTCAAGCACAACTGGCTCGGCCGCGGCCGCACAGGCCGTGATCGTCGTGGCTTCGTCGGTGCCAAGATCCGCCCTGTGATGGTCGGCGGTCCTCCTGTTATCGATGATGGAGATTCCCTCACTACGGCTGGCATCAGCATCGGTGCTAGTACTAGTACAGGGGGATCCCGGGGTCGAGGTGACTCGTCCTCGTCGGAATGGAGTTCCAATGTCCCAGGCCCTGGTATGAGTATGCGTAGTGGTGGCAGACGAGAACTGAGTGTTGTCTAGCTTTTTGTGTTTTCTTCTAGCTACTCGTTATGATTGTATGACGGCGGGTGGGTACTTTGGCAATAAAGGGGCGTTTGTATTATTTTTATAGGAATTGATATCGATATCCTTATCTCGGGCATTGAACAATTCCATCTACGATGCCATTCTACTCTGCACGGAATTGTGTAAATCTTACAACTTTTTTTGGGCTTGATTTGAAGATAAAGTAACTTTTTTTGGCCTTTTTGTGCTTTTCCCATGTTTTTGTCCTTTTGACTTAGATGTGAAGTCATATCCAACAGTAAATCCGACAAGTATCGCATATGGCACCCGTGGCCCGGCCAACTAGCCACTGGGTAAAATCGTCGATATGCATATCCATATCCACCAGAAATGAATGACGTCTCACCTCACCATCCATCAAAATAACTCAAACATCCAAGGGTAAGGGGCTTACTTTCGAGCCCTCCCCTTACCCTTCACATTGACCTTGCCAGACTCCTTGAGGACTTCGTATCGACCCTGGCAAGCCGTGTCAGAAACCTCCCAGCCAAGCTGAATCGAAACATCCTCAGCAATCTGCTCAAAGCTCTCGTCATCCAGCTTCGAATCGAACTCGCGCAAGGTATCCAGAAGAACATCCTATTCAAATTTCAGTAATCGGAATAAAACAACCTCTCCATCCCCAAATAGAACACCAACGGGTATCCAATATTGAGGTGGCCAAAGGGCGAAATGAATACATACGTCGAAACCGGGCCAAGGACCAATTCTATCCTTGATTCGTCCCCATCGCTTGGCTAGAGCTCGCATTGCCATCTCGTCGTCCGAGTCACTTCGATTCTCATTCCATGCCCTGGTGATTTCCGTCCACGACATCGACGTCGTCTCCTTCATCTGCGACATTATCTTGTCTGCGGTAGATGCTGTCTCCCAAGAATCTGGGGTTGCGTTGCCCTTGGGGTTCTTCTTCGTGCTGGAGCTGGAGCTGGGCATGACGTCCGAACTGCGCAGACGGCGCGGGGAGACGGAGACGGTGACCTGTGCCTCTGGAGTAGCCGTTTCGGTCTTCATGCTGGCTTTCGAACGACGACGGGATGACGATGAGGCAGGTGCATGTGTCGCGGACTGGTTCTTGGAACGGTGGCGTTTCGAGGTTAACTTAGACGGAGGTGTCGCAGTCTTGGTCTTGGTTGAGGCGATGCGACGCTGGATCGAGACTGAGGTTCTGGCTGAAAGTGTGCTTGATAGCTCCGGGCTCGAGCTCTTTTTGGGTGAACTGTGTCGGGCACGCTTTGCCGCTGAGCCTGCGTCTGCTTCCTCCACTGACTGAAGGGTTTCAGAAACGGATGGAGCATGAGCAAGTTGATCGAACTCAAGTGTACTAGCTTGAGATGGACCAGGCTGATCGCGGCCGATAGCAGCCCAATATTCAGGCTGTAGAAAATCTATGCCAGCGGTGGCAGCTTCTATCTCAGCAAAGATACGGTCCAGGTCATCAATGGTAGTGTAATGCGGCTCTACTCTCCGACCATACAGATACGTTGGATTATCGGTATGGGGGTCAGCCATTTCACGCAGAACCTCCTGCTCAGACGCCAGGATGCGTTCATACTCCTCGGGGGTGTAGACGCCCATGGGGTCAATGGTCCAGTTGCTGTGGTCGGGAATCTCTTCGGGGTACACGAATGTGGAGGGGAGGATATTAGGGTCTTCGAATGGGGTGATTCCCGACATTACCGCTGAATCAAATGGCTGCTGGTATGCGTCCATATACGGATCCATGGAAGGATCCATCGAAGGATCCATCGAAGGGTCGATGGAAGGGTTCGGGGGTGTAGAAGGGACGAAATCCAGTGTAGGAGATAGGTGACCAGCGTCGCGGGAGGGAGCTTCGTCAGAGCTCGAACGGGGCTGAGGAGATGCGCTGGTAGCGGGGAGCTCCGAGGTAGGATTGATACTAGTCGATGTCTCGTCGTAGTCAGAAGAAGATCCATGAGATGTGCTGAAAGCACTAGGCTTAGGAAGATCCATATTGGACCCGGGGACGAAAGAGGACTCAACAGGCGTTTTCTCAGCAGGGTTCAGCAGATCAGAATCGACATGGGATGATGAATTTCCAGGTCTGGCAAGGGACAAAAGACGCTCGCTGACAGGATCGGATGGAACAGTCGAGGGAATGGAGTCCAGGGTGGACTGACAAGGTCTCTCTTTGGAAACGAATTTTACCCTGACAGGAGTGACAATGGGAGTCACGTCCTTGGGGTGTCCCTTTGCATTCGTCGAGTCTGAGACAATGTTCGAGTCCGGAGTGGCCTCGCGAGATCTCTTTTTGACAACGAGTCTATTCTAGGAGTGGTAGTGGGAGTCGCTTCGTTAGCACGTCCGTTTGCACCTGTATCTGTAGAATCTGTATTAGTGCTCTGACATCCCAAGAGAAAAAGAGTCAGGGGTTCTCTCACGAGGTTTCTTGTTGACAACAAGTCTTATTCTAGCAGTGGGAGTCACGTCCTTCGGGCGTTCCTTTGCATTCGCCGAGTCTGAAACAGTGTCCGAGTCCGAGGTGGCCTGGCGAGGTCTCTTTCTGAGAACGAGTCTTATTCTAGGAGTGGCAATGGGAGTTGCATCCTCGGGGCGTCCCTCTGCATTCGTGGAGTCTGTATTAGTGCTTTGAGGATGGCGAGTGGGGATGGAAGCACGACAGGTATTGCAAGAAGAAACAGTTTGACTCGCTGTAGGTAGGCACTCCTCAGAATTTTCTCCAACTGGAGCAAATCGAACTTGAGTCGATCTAAGAGGAGAAACAGGTCTGCGGTCTGAGTCGTTTCCTTTGGTTAGCTGACGGGGGAAATGAATCTTAAGAAGAGGGACGTTAGCATTTAGACATTAGACAAGAAATAGTGAAAATTAAAACTTACAGGAGTTGGGCGAATATCAGCACCATCGGCTTGTGGCAACGATTGCCTTTTCACTGGAGTAGGGTTTTCATTGGCATCGAAAGAAGAGCCATCATCAGAGTCGTGGATTGAGGGCGTGCCGCTTGTCTCTCGAGTCAATTGGACAACGATAGCAGGGAAGAGATCTCTGATGGTTCTATCAGACGCCATAGTTCAATCTCAAAGGAGCCGACGAAGATAGAACCAATTGGTTGGACACATGATGTACTATATACAGGTACAGGTGGGCGACATAATATACATAGAAAACGAGGTAATCAAGATGAGCCGACGATGTAAACGAGTACCCTTACCATGCACTATGTACACACGTATGTATGTACATATGTACATGTAGGTAAATCTGATAAACCCCAAGGTAAACCCCTTCATGTTGAGGATCCCATTCGACCAAAAAGCCTACAATTGCAGTGTGTATGGTATGAAGTGCATCTGTATTCATACAAATTATAATTTATCGCCGTGCTAGCATTTTTCAACAGATAGCAAAGCGACTTGTATCTTTCCAAGGTCTCCAGGGCTCTGCTTTATCTTACAGAACTCTTGCTCGTTAGGTCTAAACCTCACATAAACTGTTGAAGGTTGTGGTAACCGCCGTTATCTGGATCCCTATGCTCTCCCTGGAGGTTGACTTGCTGTCGGCTGCAATACTTGAGGATTGTCTAAGGTAGTCGGACACCACATACTCGCTCTCACCGTCCTACTTATAATCTCGAACAAGATACATCTTCGCAGGGCGACGTCAAAGTTACATACCTTTAGACTACCTTATCTCAACTTCTCTTATCATAATCCAGTACTGTCTATGGATACATACCATATGACTTATTATGTTTGATACATGGATGCTCTATATAATGTATTTTGATATGAAGATATGTCTTGTATGTCTTCCAATAAGACATCTCCTGTGTGATACATATCAAATCAAAGAGCAGCATACATATACGCCTTTATTCTATCTCAAGCCAGTGTATAATATCTCAAACTGTTTCACTGTGAAAGGAGTACGTACATAAGGTAAGTGTATTAATGATAGTCACCATTACATAGCTGTTCAACCGTTGCGTTTAATATGAACAGCGAATTGAGATTTAGGGCTACAAGATGAAAGAAAAAGAAAAATAAAGACATTTAGGTCCCAAGACTGGGCAGTTTAATAATCCCAGTACACCGTATATTTACAATATTTACAATAATAGGACCAGCACATCAATTCGTGGGCCCGACTGATTGGCTTCAGGGCTGCAGCCTGCGCAGCCTCGCAGCCTCGCGCATGTTTGCGTCGTGATCTCCTTTCACATAAAATGCCGTCTCACCCACAGCGCCATTCTCTTTCTTCTCTGCATTTTTGTCTCTCTCTCTTTTTTCCTTTTTTCCTTCTTTCTTTCTATTTAATCCTGGTCTTTTCGTCTTCCCCAACTTTGGTTAAAATCTCCAACTCTCCAACTCTCCAACTTCCCCAGCTTACGGCTTACAGCTTGCCGCTTCCCCAGCTCCCAGCTTCCAAGGCCCAAGTCTACCTCACTAAGCTATCATGGATCCCGCTTCCAACCCGGCTGAGGCCAAAGATGAAGTTGTTTCATCAGAAAATCTGAACGGCTCTGCCCAGACTACTGAAGTCAAAGAAGTCAAAGATGCTGCTGTCGCCCCCGCACCCGAGACTACCCCTGCCTCTGCCCCCAAACTGTGCAGAAAGCACAAAAAGAAGAACAAGAAAAAGGATGAGAGTGACAGCTCCTCTGATTCTTCTTCTTCTGAATCCGACAGCGATGCCGACTCTGAGGAAGAATCCGATTCCACAGAGAGCGACTCCGATACTGAGAAGCGCAAGCGGCATCGCCTACGAAAGGCGCGTGCTAGGCGTGCGCTCAAGGATAAGAAGCGTCGTAAGAAGAAGAAGCAACGGTCGCGCAAGGTTGAGGCATCGAATTCGGAATCTGACTCCCCCTCTGAGTCAGATTCGGAGTCTTCTACTGACTCCGATGACGAAATAGATGACAAGGCGTTGCGGAAATTAGTCACCAAGCTCAAGCTTAGCAAAAAAAGAGCTAAGAAGCTGCGTGAACTGGCTGCTGATGATTTGGCCGCGAGCGATTCGTTGGGTGAAACTCGCCGCGAGAAGCGGTCTAAAAAGAAGAAGCCCGCTTCAAAGGTGGCTTATAAGCGTGTAGATCAATGTGAGTTTCTTTTTTCTGTTTAGATCTCATGTACTGAGTTCTCGGTTTCTGACTTGTTGCATAGTATGGGATACCACCATCCACAAGTACAAGCTCACTGAAACTGTGGATGACCCCGATGCCGACGAATGGGACCAGTATATCTTCAACATCCGTCGCAAGTTCAACTGGGAGAACAAGTACCTCGAGACTGTGGTCGATATCAAGAGCAAACCCCTGCGCGATGCCCTCTCCAAGATCATGGATGGTGTCAAGGGCGTCAGTCTCGTCCAGGAACCCGCTGTCGTGGATCCTAACATGCTGTTCCTATACCTGGAGGAAACAAGGCAATATATGAAGGACCTAAAGAAGCAGTCGCGTAGCGAGAAGAAGAAAAAAGCCAGAAAAGCTGCTGCTGTCAAAGCTGCCCATCTGAAGGTTCTCATCAAATACCTCGACACCGACTACGCAGACATCAAGAAGACTCTCTACCCGCTGCTCGAGGCCAACACGATCACGTTCGATCTGTTGTGGGCCCTGTACAAGCCCAACACCATCGCTTACACCCCGACCTACGGCAGCACAGATGAACCACGTGCTTTCAAAATCGAGTACGCCATCAAAGAGTCCTCCTTCATGAAGGGTCAGTGGTACAGTGTTGATGGCCGTTACCTAGAGTATGACGGCAAGGACTACGGCTTCGGCACTATGTCCGCTGAAGTCGACGCCTTCAAGGGTGCTCGCAAGATTACCAGTCTCGCCTGCTACCCGCTGAAGTACCACCGCGATGCCGATGCTCTGCGTGCCCGTCTCATCGAACGCGGCAAGCGCTTCGTCGCTCTCCGTGGTATGAACTACCGCTTCCACAAAGGTATGGCCTTCTACAAGAAAAAGCGCTCGCTCATCGTCAAGGTCAATATCAATGGCCGCGTCATGGTCGACCCGGCCATCCACCGTCGCATCAACCCTAACTATCCCATCTCCACCGTGCGTCCCAAGGATCCGGATCTTATAGATCCCGAAGACCTTGGGATCAGCGGCGACGAGGGTGATGATAGCGACGGCTGCGGCTGTGGCGGATCAGACTCAGACTCTGAGCATGGCGGCGCCTCTGATACCCCACGAACGATGTACAAGGTCGTTGAGGATACGGAGGGATGCCCACGCGTTGTGGAGGTCGAAGTCGACGAGAACGGCGCTGAGATCCACAAGGAGAAGATGGACCGCATTGAAGGTGCCGCCGCTGATTCCAAGGACCGCGAGTTTACCGAGGAGGAGCTACTCATTGCCTCTCCTGTCGTTCTGGGCTTTGCCTTCAGCGAGAAGCTCTGGCTCGAGTTTACGATATCCGGTATCAGCGATATCGAGTGGGATAAGGAAGCCTTTGGCTCGCTTGTCCTCCCATCAAACCAAAAGTCCATCGTCAAGGCCCTCGTCGAGTCGCATACCTTCCACGCCGCGCAGAACATTGACGATGTCATCCAGGGCAAGGGTAAGGGTCTTGTTGCTGTGCTGCATGGCCCACCCGGCACGGGTAAGACCCTGACGGCAGAGGGCATCGCCGAGCTACTTCGTCGCCCGCTGTATATGGTCAGCGCCGGTGAACTGGGTACTGACTCGCGGACCCTTGAGGCGGAGCTGAACAAGATCTTGGATATCGCGCACTCCTGGGGCGCAGTGCTCCTCCTCGACGAGGCAGATGTTTTCCTTGAGAAGCGTACTATCCACGATATCCACCGCAATGCCCTGGTCAGCATCTTCCTCCGTCTGCTGGAATACTTCCAGGGCATTCTGTTTTTGACTACCAACCGTGTTGAGACCTTCGACGATGCCTTCCAGTCGCGTATCCATGTCGCTTTGCGCTATGGCGATCTTACTTCCAAGGCGAAGAGGAGTATTTGGAAGATGTTCTTGGAGCGCGTGCGTGCTATTGAGGGTGTGAATATTGCTTCTTTCTCTGAGGAGGATTATGATATGCTTTCCAGGCACACGTTGAATGGGCGACAGGTATGTTCACTGGGTTTCCTTTTCCTCCATCCCACTCTACACTCCCCGTTCTGGTCTACAAACTAACCGACCTATCCTCAGATCAAAAACTCGGTCCGCACCGCACAAGCACTGGCCGTCAACGAGAACGCGCCTCTCTCAATGGACCATATCAAGCGTGTGCTAGAGGTGGCCGAGACCTTCGATCAAGACCTACGTGGCGGAACAGGATATCTGGACGCCATGCGGAGCTATACTTGATTTATGATTGATTATTTCTGATCTTGGATAATTTGATGCTTACTATGAAAATCCGTGCAGATCTGGTATTCAGCTCGCTATTTGCTTGTCCTTTGCTTTTCGTGTTTGCTTGCTGTTTTCGGTTATCTCAGGCACAGATTATTGAGTTGCGATGTCTCTCGTTTTGTTTTCCCTGTTTTTGCATTGCGGACGTGGAGTGAATGAGTTTAGGTAGTTTCAATACATAATGTGGGTTGAAAATGGGTATAGTTACAAGTCAGGACCGTAGTATAGACCGATTTATGGATTAGAATGGATTATCGAAGATTGTCATACACTTTCATTATTACAAAAAACAAAAGTCACGACGAGGTATGGATAGTTGTACATGGAACTTTTCAAGGGTTGGCCTTGACGAAGTCAACACCCTTCTGGATGTTCTTCTTGAGGTCAGTCAGGCAGGCATCGAGGAGACCCTGCTCGTACTCGTTGATCTCGCCAACGGAGTTGATCTTCTCAACACCGTTAGGGCCGAGCTCGACGCGGGAAGCGAAGAAGTCGATACCCTGGTCCTTGTACAGAGGGGAGTCGACGAAGGTGGGCTCGATGACACCCTTCTCGCCCTGGGCGGCGCGGAGGAGAGACTCGGCAAAGCGGGCACCGGCCATGGCCATGGAGAGGGTGGCGGAACCGGCACCGTCCTTGGCCTTAACAACCTCGTCACCACCGAACTGGATGCGGTTGACAAGGGCATCGCGGGCCTGGCCGGCGATGGAGGAGTGGTTGGACTGCGAAAGCAGGGGGACGATGGTCACACCAGAGTGGCCACCAACGACGGGGACAGCCTCGCCGGAGGGGTTGGTGTTCTGGACCTGCGAGATGAAGCGCGAGGCACGGACGACGTCAAGAGTGGTGACACCGAACAGACGCTTGGGGTCGTAGACGTTGCGGGCCTTGTAGACCTCGGCGACGATGGGGACGGTGGAGTTGACCTTTAATGAACGGATAGTTAGTAGGGCGCCCTGATCGTGAGGTGATCAATTGTAACTTACGGGGTTGGCGATGACCAGGACGTGAGCCTTGGGGGCGGCCTCAGCGGCGGCCTTAGCGAGGTCGCGGACGATGGAGGCGTTGGTGTTGAAGAGGTCATCACGGGTCATACCGGGCTTGCGGGGAACACCAGCGGGAATGAGGATGATCTCGGAGCCCTCGAGGCAGTCACGGAGACCGGAAGCATCGGGGTTGTAGCCGGTAACGGTGCTGTTGGTGTTGATGTGGCTCAAGTCAGCAGCGACACCTAAACAAAGTCAGTAATTGAGCGCGTTGAATTGGTCGAAACATCATCATTCATACCGGGTCCACCGCGGATATCGTAGAGAGCAAGCTCGGAAACACGGGGGTTGAGCTTCAGCAGCAGGGAGAGAGGCTGGCCAATACCACCGGCGGCACCGAGAACGGAGACCTTGGAGGCCTGCGCGAGGAGTTAGCTTGAATTGGGGGGAAAGAGGAAATAAGCACGCACATTGATAGCGGAGGCCGAGAAGGCACGCTTCTGGAAGAGGCTGGCAGTACGACGAGCGGCGAACATGATGATATTTGGGGGAGAGATGGGTAAAGGAAGAAGTTGAAGGGGAAGGAGGAGATTCCGGTGAAAGAGATTGGCTGGGGGCTCCACAACAGTTTCCGAGCTCCCGACGCTCGGCTGAGGTCTTTTGCTTCTTTTGCTTCTTTTACTTCTGTTAATGGGCTATCTTTTTGGTAGGAATTATTTAGTTCTTTATTTGTTATTAATTAAATGAAATGGCAATGTTTTTATCTAAATAATGTCTCATACTTCCATGCTAAAATGCATATATCCTGTTCTCGGCGCAAAGGATGGACTTCTGCATGTGGCATCATCTTGCCAAGCTACGTATGTAGGTAATTATTTTCATGTGCCTGAAGTACTAAGCACTATTTTCAACCTGAGATATTTACTTTTAGCACTTGAAATGTTTCCAGGAAGCCTTGGCGGAAACCACAATGCCTTGGAGAGGGACCGGCTTAGATGGAATTGAAGGTGTGACTAGTATACTATCCCGAGGTCATAGGCCAAAAGGTTTCAATTACACCAATGCCTATGTTGTATGTAGTACACCTATGTAGATACTAGATGCTCGTGACCAAGTATGAGTTCCCTTACTGGATCTTAAACCCAATTTTAAAGAATAATAGCTTACTATAGTTGCACCTAGCACATATATATATATACATTTACAATTATCAGACTCTCCCAGCTAAATATAGACATTTTATTGGCAACAAGGACATCTCAATTGCAAAGACCAAACGCCGGCGCTGATGAACCCAATACAAGATACAAGACTACGCCCTACCCAAGTAAACCCCGTATACCCACCCAGGCCGAGGCCAAAAAAAACATAATGATATAATCCTACCGCAAGAAGTGCAGCACTGCCCAGCAGAACAAGAAGAATATCACCACTCCGCCCCAGAAAATCCACTTATCCTGACGCGCCCGCCGCTCCACCATCCGAATTGTATCGCCGCTGACACCAAGTGTGTTCGCGACGCTGTATAGTCGACGCTGTGTTCCCTTGAGTACTTCACGTTGTTGTCCTAGGTCTGCGAGAACCGCTCTTCCTCGGTCCAGGAAATCATCGAGTTGGTTGTGTGTGTTGGAGAAGAAGGACTGCTCGCGCAGCGCGTTGGTTTCGCGGTTGTAGTCTGCTGGGCTAGCGCCAAAGGCAAGGCCTGAGGATGATGGTGCAAAGGCTGAGCTGGTCTGTGGGAGTGAGGACTGCGCATACGGATTCTCTGGTGTTGCGGCGTGGTGTGGGCGACGGCCTAGGAGTTCATTGTGGTTGGTAACCGATTGCTGGCATTGCGTCAGTATTGGAAGTACACTGTGAAAGAATTGCTGGGCACATACTGCATCCTCGCGTTCTTTGCGAAGTCGATCGAATTGTGTCCGGTAGTCTAAGAGCTCATTTCGGAAGTTCTTGATGCGGTCGAATGCCTTTTGTTGTTTCTCGGGAATCAGTTCCTTCTTGGAGAGAGCTGAGTAGTCATCGACGGTGCGGGAAAGCGATGCCAAGGAGGCTGCAAGCTGGCCTAGGAGCTTGAAGTCAATATGTTGGGGTTGCAAAGAGTCGATGATAGGAACGCACCTTGTAACGCGGGTGAGGAGGTGGTTGGTGATTGTGAAAAGGTGTCCAGATCACGGCGGATCGACGATGATTGCTTTAAAGCAGAGTTGAATAGCGAATTCTGTTCATGTCAGCTATGTAAACCTATCGCGGGGAACTGCAATATACCATGTTGTCAATGCCCCGTATAGATTTGATTGGACTCTTGGATTGCTTCGATACCCGATAAGTCGTGAACAAGGGAGTACTAGATAGGACTGCTAACAGGATAAATAAGAGATGACAAGCTCCTGAGCTAGTGACTCTCTTTACACAAACACCAAGGTGGTCGTCGTCTGATCCAACCGGAGGCCAGATGGTCTTGTTTGGGCCATCTGAGGTAGTTCACCGCCTTCAGGTACAATGCATTCTATACAACGTACATCTGCAAGCCCTTGGGATATTTTTAGATTCTGCGAAGTATCTCAAGTTCGAATACTTACAAGTGGTGACTTCGAACAAGCTACAGTCGACATAATCTGTCATATATGTTACAACTTCTAGAACTTCAAAGGAAAATGATATCGTCAAAGGTACTGGTACAGTCAATCCAATCCTACTCCAATTTCACCAAATGAACAGAATGCAAAACCACAGAAGAGCTGGGATGGTATATCAAGACAAAAAGCAATTAGGCGATACCCAAAAAAAAGGAGATGAAACGCCGCACATCTATTTGGGAGGGAACTTGTTCTGCAAGAACCACCTAGATCATGGATTAGCATCATTGCCATACCAATCAGTCCGTAAATATATGCGGTACTTACTTGCTGACAAAGTAGTCCACAGCACCAAAGATTCCGACAGCACCGGCAGAGAGTCCGACCAGCTCCCAGGAGAGGTTGCCCCGCGCGTGTTGCTTGTAGGCACCAAAGCCGATGCCTACGCCGACCACGGTTGCGATAGCGGCATTGGCAATGAAGACAGGGTTGCTGGTGTTTCCGCAGATGCCACTGCTCTTCACCTCTTGGCTCCTTGCCTTCTTTTGTTTCTCCTCCTCACGCTTCTCCTTCTCCTCGGCTTCGCGCTCTATCCGCTCCGCCTGGGTGGTAGTTTGGACATCATTCTTGAGGAAGTCGGATTCCACAGTCTGAATATGGGGGCCATCAACGTCGATCAACGAGGCTGTGCTCTCCGTTTCATCGTGGTAGATTCCACCCACAGGGGGAGCGCGGCTGGAGGATGTGTTAGCTGTGTGCAAGCGATACTTGGCACTATAGAAAACTCACGCCTGTTATTCGTTAGTGCTGTACTGTAGGTATAGGAGTTTGGACTTACATCCTCGGGGGACTGCTTAGGGCCCTTCGCAGCTGCGTCGGCGTAAGACATGGTGTTGCGCGTGATGTTGTCAGAAGGTAATCTGAGGAAATCCTGGTTAGCACCTTAACAGCTAGAACAAAAAGAAACATATACTTACTAGAAACGTGATGTGGGAAGGAAAGACTTCGAGGGGAAAGGCAGGATTTATACCAAGGAAGCTGGGGGGTGTGACATCACGTCATTGACCTGGGCCCACTACCAAGGTTCCTTGGGTTTAATTTTCCGCGATGTTGATCCCGTAGCTGCATACTACATACGTAGTATATGGCCCCGAAGATATCTTAAGAGACTGTGCTATTTAATTAGTTCAAATAATAATTCAGTCAGGGGATCGCATGGTAATTACCTATGTAGGTAGAATGGTCTTGACCTGACCTCGGGAGGCCTCAGCCACCTACGTTATCAGGTGCTCCAACAACTTCACCAAAACAGAAGAATGATGCAGAAGTCGAGAAAAATTCCATTGAAAGGATGTAAAGCTGCTAAATAGATCAAAAACAAATGGGACCTATGTAATGGTCTAATGGGGGAGGCGAGGTGTTTTAATACAGATTACAGATAAGAGAACAAGAGCGCTTCGCTTTTTACAGCAGAAGCTCCAGAGGGTTCTCGACGACCTTCTTCAGCTCCTTAATCCATTCGCCACCAACGGCGCCGTCAACGACCTTGTGATCGAAGCTACCAGTCACGATGATCTGGTCGTCCCACTCGGTAACGGTGCCCTCCTCGGTCTCGACGGGGATAGCGACCTTGCGGGTGGTACCAACAGCCAGGATACCCGCCTGCGGGGGGTTGATGACAGCGGTGAAGCGCTCGACAGCGGCGTTCATGCCCATGTTGGAGATGGTGAAAGTGCCGCCCTGGTACTCCTCGGGCTTAAGCTTGTTCTCGCGGGCACGCTTGCCAAGGTCCTTGACCTGCTTGGAGATGCTGGAGAGTCCGAGACCCTGGACGTTCTTGACAACGGGGGTGATCAAACCAGTGGGAGTAGACACAGCGACGCTGATGTCAGCAGTGTTGTGCTGACGGATCACAGCCTGGCCGTTCTCCTCGCGCCAGCTGGAGTTAACCTGGGGGACCTTCAGAAGGGCAACAGCGCATGCCTTGACCAAGAAGTCGTTGACGGAAAGCTTGTACTGACCCTCGGCGGAAGAGTTCAGGGCCTGGCGGAGCTTCAGGAGCTTGGTAACCGAGAGAGTGGTGGAGACGAAGTAGTGAGGGTTCTCGGCCATGGACTGCTTCAGACGGTTGGCAATGGTCTTGCGCATCGAGCTGACGGGAATTTCCTCGAAGGAAGCCTCGCCGGAAACAGCAGTGGTGGCAGGCTTGGCCTTCTCAACGTCCTCCTTGGTGATGGCACCACCACGGCCGGTACCCTTAAGGCCCTTGATGGACACACCCTTCTCAAGGGCCAAGACCTTAGCGGCGGGGCTGATAGAGGGCTCACGGTCAAGACTGGGCTGGAGCTTCTCGCCAGAAGTCTCGGGCTCTTGCGCGGCGGGTTTCTCCTCGACTGGGGCCGGGGTCGAGGGCTCAGCGCTCTTAGGCTCCTCCTTCTGCTCAGTGGGAGCAGGCTTGTCACCACCGGCATCAGCCAGGGAGAAGGACTCGAAGGCGGATACATCGGCACCCTCCTCAACAAGGACAGCAATGGGCTACAAGGAAGGTTAGATTGATGGATCAATTCCCCACGGAGAAAACCGGGAAATTCCTTACCGAGCCAACAGAGACGTCCTTCTCGCCGCTCTCCTTCAGAACCTTGGCCAGGACACCCTCATCCTGGAACTCAAAATCCATCTGTGCCTTGTCGGTTTCGATCTCCACGAGGACATCACCGGGCTGGAGGGCATCTCCGGCCTTCTTCTGCCACACGCCGATGTTTCCGGCGGTCATTGTCGGCGACAGCGCCGGCATGCTGATGAGTGTGTGCGGAGGGAAGGCTGTGAACAGAGATGTTAGAATTGACGTGTCAGAGAAAGGGATAAATCAATTGTCATACACTTGGAGGCATAGAAGCGGGAAAGGGCAGAGAGCGCAGGCACTTGGGTCCTGGTGGAAACATCATTAGTATCAACCCCCAATCACAATTGATATCAGTTGAACATACTGGATCACCTCCTGGAGCTTGGAGGAGACCTGGGGCCGGCGCATAGCGGCGGCACCTCTAGACATGAACATGGCGCTCGGGGTGCGCATCCGAATAGCTGACGCAACCATACTGCCTGAGACTTGTTGCGATTATAAAAAGAAAGGAGTAGAGGCCCTTAACGCTGGGATGAGAAAATAAGAAGAGCCCGGCACAGAGAAAACGTGAAGGGCTAGGAATGGATAGGGTTGGGGTGGAAGGAGACGCCTCTAAATCACGAACTTTTCTGTTGAGCTACCTGTGGCTCCCGGTGAGAGGAGCGGCAGCGGCCTCTTCCGATATAGTCACGTGCTGTAACTTACAGGCTCAAGCTCCGGCCGTGTATTATTGTATTTTTCCGAGGCCAATTCCCTTCTCACCGCCTTGAGTATACACTTGCGAATGGTATTGGAAAGCATTTGAAAGTAGCTGAAATGAAGGACATACCCATCTAAATGTAAATTTCTATTATTATCATTATTTTGACTTGGGATATTTCTAGGCGTACTATTACAAAGGAGACATAATATGCATATAAGCTAAATACATACACAGATGTATGTATGTGTAAACACATACGTGCATAGGTGTACAGAACCAGACGATGAGCATTCTGCCCGGCAAAAGAAGGACGGTGAGAACCTTCGGAATCTCCTACTCCAGCCTGGAGGCCGTGGACCAATCTTGGCTGAGGTAAGCATGCATTAGTCCCGATTCGGAGAAGACACGCAGCCCCCGTCCTTACATGTCATCGCGATTGTTTCGAGCTTCCCCACGTTTGGCTCGTTCAATGTTTTTTTGGTCTAATTAGATCACTCCGCCCGGAGTCTCCTTGACCATGGCGGACACCGAACTCGGCTCTGAGCCGTCCCAATCCATTGAAATGCCTAAGAACCCCGTCGAGACCCCCGACATATCTCCTACAGTACCAAACTCCGACGAGCCAGCCCTGCCCGAGCAGACAGAATCACAAGAACCAATCCGGAAGGGCGACGAGGAAGTAGCTAAGGGCCGGGAAGATGAGGAAAAACCAGAGGTGCCGCCCAAGGACGAGCCTGAACAGACTGAGCAAGAACCCCAAACAGACGGTCCGCCTACGATTCAGGAACCACCCCAGGATGAGAACAATGCGACCGAAAGCAGGTTGCGATCGGATTCGCGGTCAACAACCGCTACATCTATGACACAGCGATCTAGCCCGGTTAGCTCGACGGTCTTTATTGTGACGGCTCTGGACAATATCGCTGCCTCGCGGGACGCCCGGAGGGACAAAAAGCTGGAGGATGCCACACAGGTTGCCCTGGCCAATATCAGGCAACCAGATGGGCAAGCAATTGATCCCGAGCTTATCTTCCGTCCTCTGCATTTGGCAAGCAAAGCCCTCAGCATTCCTCTGCAGGTAACTGCATTGGACTGCATTGGAAAGCTGATCACATACTCCTATTTCGCGTTCCCATCTGCCGAGACAGACAACACTGCCACCCGCGAACAACCTCCACTCATCGAGCGTGCTATCGACGCGATCTGCGACTGCTTCGAGAATGAAGCCACGGCGGTTGAAATCCAACAGCAGATCATCAAATCGCTGTTGGCAGCGGTCCTGAACGATAAGATCGTGGTGCATGGAGCTGGTCTCCTGAAAGCCGTCCGCCAAATTTACAACATCTTTATCTACTCCAAATCCAGT